AGATGTGATGCAGTCGGATCCAGCCTCAGTGCTCTTCTCCTCTCTAGCAGATCTTTGGTGGCTTTCGGAATTCGTTCCAAGTTCTTTGTGCAAGGCATTGAGGCGCTTTCACCACAGGCTTTCAGTCCTCTAAGAAGCACATCGTAGTCTTTCGCCGGGTTCTCTTCGATGGACTAATCACGAGTGGTCAGGAGCTCTCCAATCTGACGCCGTTATATACATTTCTCTCCCTCCTCCAACACGGTGGCAGATCTTTTTTCCAGCTTTTGGCTGAGTTGCATCTTTCCTCGAAAGAGGCGATGATCTGAGCCACTACTGAAGGATGGTACTGAGACGTCCAGTAAGCACCACCTTCGGTTGGTGGTCCATCTCTGCGTTAATCGTACCGTTGGGTCACTTCCATGTCCAGCGCCGGTATTTTCTTCATGAAGATGGAATTTCCATGAAAAGGTCGTGTGGCAGATAAGAGCCCAACAAGATGGTTACCATTCTCGTTTCGGAGTCCTAATCCAAATCTCCCGATCCTATGCTCTCTTTCTTCTGACATCCCGATTTTCGCATTAAAGTCACCCACGACAAATTTCTAAAAGGACTTCTCTTTGCGGATGACTTCCTCCAAATCCATATAAAAAACATCAAGGTCCTAGTCATCAGCTGCTGATGTTTGAGAATAGCAGTTGATGATAGTGATGGTTTTCTGATGCAGAGGACGGAGAAGGATATGATGAGCATGCGAATCGACAAGGTGTACAACAGATGGGTTTACGACAAATCCAATGCCTCCGACATTCCGTAATGGAACTTTCTCACCACTAATGATGAGTGTGCCATCACTCAGCTGCCTCACGCCCGTCTCCCTGGACTTTTTGCAAGGCGTTTATGTGATAGTTGATGCTCCGTATGACTTCGAAAAGGGCGTGAAGGTCGGCGGTGGAGGCTGTCCTGGCGTTGTAGGTGCAGAGCCTAAGACAATCTCCATAGCGAGTCGTTGGCGTGTTCTTTTTCGAAAATCCATTCCTCTGCAATCGCTGACCTATATGGAACCACCTAGCGAAATTAGCCAGAGGATGGGGCTTTTGGTATAGGAGTGTGTAGGTGGCATCAGGCAGCAGGTGAGCATCCGAAAAGCCGGAAACGTCAAACTCTTTCTCAGCTTGGAAGACCCTATGGAGGACCAACCTCCGCTGTACTTC